CAATCATAATTACAATGCCGAATGAGTTCCTTGTAAGCACTAATAGGGGTGATTTGTAGGAATTTATTTATATATGTATATATTTACATATGTATACTAATTCGAGAAATTTCGTATAAAATATCATTCTATCGTCCCAGTAAAATTTTTTCTTTTAAAACGCGATTTTTAAGGGTATTTTTTAATGCGATTAAGCACGCGAACTACCTTGAACTGAGCAGAAAATTTTGGGAAGTTACAAAATGTATTAAATCCAAGAGTTTAAGCCCTCCGAGAGACATGCCTGGGATAGTGGTTAATCGGAGATTTCGTACCTCTGTTCAGCCACAAGATCAGCATCGGGCCAGAGCTGCCCGGCCTAGAGATCGATTCTTTATAGGGCATCTCAGAACTCTCATCAACACCTAGTAGCCCGGTGTCCCTTAATAGGAAGACCAAGGATCAGGATGGCTTTCTAGGATAACTCTATACCCCCGCAGAAGCTTACAAGGGCAGACCTCCAAATGTGCGCTGTCTCATTTCCATTGGGGTGCATTCTGTCTAGGATTTGCACTACATCTCAGTATACAAACAGAAGGATGCGCAGTCCGTGCCTCAACTAAGCAAATTTCACCAAGTTACATCCATCTTTCTATTGGAGTTTTTGCTGCAGAATTTGTGAACTATTTTTTAATTTTAGGCTAAACACCTTAGGTCTAGGATTTTCAGTTTGAGCTGGTCATATCTTATCTAAGCAATAAGATCAATTTAACAAAATAAATAAAAATAAAGTAGGAGAATGGGAGTAAACAAAAAATGTTTTTAAGTCACGCAATAATAAGCCACTATACAATTACAGCCATTCTTAAATATATGTAATAATAATAGAGTACTCGTCCCACCCTCCCCACTAATAAATGCGACAGCACATTGTTATGGAACTGGCGCCCACGCCACTTATTTACTCCAACCTAGCGCAGTGCTGAATAAGTAACTGAGATAATTGCCCTTTTTTATGTAAAAAAAAAAACGAAAAAGCAAACCATAAAAATTCGAAAACAATGGGAATTGATGAGAAATTTGTATGACAGCAGTTGAACAAATATCATGACGAGCTAAAGTTGATAAGAAAAAGATATATTACACTGTGCGACAATTTTAAAGCAATTCAAACCAGCACGGACTTGGCTAATATTTTCTGAATTTTTTCCAGTAATAAAACACTCGATGGCTTTGCAAAAGTAAGCTCGTATTTTTATTTTATGGCCTACTAAAGTTTTCATGTCACGGCTGAAGTAGTTTAAGAAAAAATATGAAAAAAGGGTTAAAATAAATATCTGAGCGAAATTAAAAGTTAAAACGTATATAATAAAATGGCATGGGAAATATTTTTGTAGAACATTTTAAACCATTATTTCCCGCCTGGAAGGGTCGTTTTGACCCTTACTGCAGAAAACCCCTCAAAAAGCAGATTTGGAAGTTCGTTAGAGGTTTGATATACTCTAGCGAATCATTTTTCGGAAAATTTTACTAGGGGTCTTCTCAGGCAAAAGCTTCATGCCGCCAACGTAAAAGTTTCTAAAAAATTTTAGATAAAAAATCAGCAAAAAACTTTTTTTTTTAATTTTTTAAAATTGAGTTTGGCTGTTGTCCCTTCTTGGCATAGATTTTTTATTAAATTTTATAGAGACTTTTACGTTGGTGGCATGAAGTTTTTTCCGAAGAATAATTTTCTAGAATATATCAATCCGCTAACGACCTTCCAAATTTGGTTTTTGCGGATTTTCGTGAAGTAAGGGTCAAAACGACCATTTTAGACGGGAGCTAATGGTTTAAAATTTTCTACGAAAATATTCCACATGAAATTTTATAATATACATATGTCTTAACCTTTAATTTCACTCAGATATTTATTTTAACCATTTTTTCGACTTTTTTGAAAACTACTTAGGTTGAGACATGCAAATTTTAGTAGACCACAAAATAAAAATACGAGCTAACTTTTGCAAATCCGTCGGGTATACTTTCAGAACAAATATGTTAACAAAGTCCGGGCTGATTTCGGCTGTCGCCCAGTGTTATTCATAGTTAAAGCGCGTAGTGAGCAATGGCATAATTAGCTTTAATCAGCGGCTAGACAGTGAATAGGTAATATAATTTATTTCAGAACTTATGCTAACATAAATTTGTGCTATTCGGGCACTTAATTTCTTTATTACCAGTTTAAATTAAATGGGAAGTCACAAATAACTACCTACGTATTGTAGTAATGCATATTTACATACATACTTATGTAGATTATTAATCATACATACCCAGGAGAACTTGGAATCATCGCTCGATTAGTCCAGGAGCACTCCCTCACCTGCGATTTGTCACCAATGCAGTCTATGCTTTACGTTAGGAACACAGCGGCTGCCATCAGAGACTACAGTGATCAGGCAGTGAAAGATCCCTCGAATATACCCCTTTTACTACTCTACATATAATTTAGCTTAGAGCCATACAATGTCGAGCTTATGTAAGCTTCTAGGGTTTCCATTTATTAAAAAAAAATTACAACCCAATGGGACTTGACAATTTGACAGTAGATAAGACAAGTCATTTGTATTTTTTTTTTCTATATTTTTAGCTAGACCTCTATCAACACATCGCTGAAAACTGCATTCAATTCCATGCATTAGTTTTCGACAGACAGATGGACAGAAAGACAGACAAGTATTCTAAAAATGATTGACTTGGCTTCTGTTGCTCTAATAAAGACCCCCACATAAATTTTTCTTTAATATCTATAATATACAGACATCGGCCTGTTAAAATTTTATTATATCTACAGATTAGGCTTTAAGCAAAAGTTTAGCCAAATCAAAAGCCATCGTATATAGAAAAATATAAAAATAAAATGTAAAAAATTACAAAACAAAAAAAAAAACGCTTCCGTCCGTGCCAATGCTCACACGCAAATTGTGTTTCATATTGCCGTGACCAGGATTCGAACCTGGGTTACTACGGCCACAACCACTAGACGATCACGGCTACTGGAAGCTTGCTATTGACTACAAACATTTGTTAATATGTTGTATGCAGACATGACTAAACATATGTATGAGTCAATGAAAACTGAATGGTGTACGCATACAACTCGGTTCAACATGTACATATGTATGTATGTACATATTTAGGTATGTACTTCAAAATTGCTTTATTAGAAAAGTGAAAGGCAGTGGGGCACACAGAAATACAAAAAAAAAATGTGGCGTGATACACATTTACTTAATACGAATATGAAGAAAAATAACTGCTGAGGTACAGTGCTACAGTGCTAAGTGAGGTATTGTGCTAAATACCTCTAAAAATTAAATCGAAAAAGTATAAGCAGATGCTTATGTTTTGTAATGCGAGAAAAATCTATAAAAAGATTTTAATATTTTTTATCAACACAAAAAAAAATTTTCAAATCTCAATTCAAAATTGTGGTATCACATCACATTTTCGAAATATCCATAGTTAAAAGTACGAAAAACTCTTCCTAAGCTGATTTGAAACGTCTTGTATAGCCATCCTTACTTACTTTAAACTTTACCAAATATTAATTTTCCACTGGGTCTAAACAAAACACGTTAGTAGTAGGTTGTATGAGAATGAGCCAGGTGTGATCAGTGCGCAATTATTCAATAAATAAATATGCGTTGATTATCGAGTCAACAGCGGAAAATCGATTAAGTTTAACGAAATTGATTGTTGTGAATTACATAAATAAATTATGCACATTTGGGTAAATATGTTTGTTAGAGGTCCATAAACAATTGAAAGCATAATTACTTAAGTACCGAAAGCATGAGTTGCAGAATGAGAGAGCCGTTTTAGGTACTTAGACACACTTTAATTTTTTTACAGTGGGTTAGAGTTTACGAAATAAAAACAATTCTATGTTATTATTGGAAGTCTCGTGAAGAGAAGCAGAGTTTTCCGTTCGAAAAATTTTGATCTTCACGTATTCTATACCGTTTATACGAAAAAATTTTGTTTTCCCATTTAAAATACATGGAAAACTTTGAGCGCTTTAAACGACTTCTAAATATTTTTTGATTTCGATATAAAATAAAGGTATACTTTTTCGGTATAGAACTATCCTAGAGGTGAAAGCATTAAAATTCTGACGTAACTTTTTTTTGGACCACCCTAATGTATGTACATATGCTTATAATTGTTTTGTTGTTCAATTTGAATTTTGCCAATACAGTATTGTTTATCACATATTGGTTTGCTTCGCATATTTATTTACGAATATGAAGCCGAACGAGAAAACGAACACAGAGACGAAAACGAAGACGACAAAGCAAAAACCACTTATTAATGAAAATTAAATTCGTGAGACGAATTCTACCTCATGTGGGGATAGGAGTTAAAAAAAAAATCAGGAAAAGTTAAAAAATAATTAAATAATTTCAACAGAAATCCCGGCACTTCCAATTAAGCTGCCTTGCATAATGTTAGAAAAAAAACATTAAAATATCTGTGGTCATATGGAATAGTAAACTGAGTCGAGAGGCTGGCTTGAATTTCTCAAATAGGCCACGGGTTAAAATCCATCGGACGATTTCAGTTTTCTTCAATGCGCGGAAGTTTTTTTCGGAAAGTTACGCCTAAACTATTTTTTTTTAATTTGCCATTTTTCCACGCTGCACCATTTTTTTCTCCAAAACTAGACCTACTAGAAAAGTTTTTAAAAGATTTTTAAATTAGCATAGAAAATGATGTCGGTTCCGTTTTCGGAACACAAAATCTGTCAAAATTTTGTTAAACCGTGTTATTTGAAATAAAAAGAGTTTAAAAACTGCAGACTTGGAATTTTTCCAGTTAGCAGCTTTCTACGGTTCAGCTTAATACGATGTGGTAAGTTTAAAGAATCTTCGTGGTCCTCAAAATAAAACAATAAAATCGGTAAAACTGCGACAGTAACTGGCATTCCTAGCTGAGCTGCATTTGTTATACAAAAAAAAAATTTTGCTTTTAATATCTCCAATAGCTTTCTTTATTATTATTTTTTTTCAAAGTAAACTTATAAATTTAAATAATACTTTGAATATTATATGCTTAGTTACTTCTTCTTGAAAAACGGAACATTGGATTTTTGAAAGTAGAAGTCGCCTGCCTGTAGAGTGGATTATTGTTCTGGAAATAGAAACGAAATTCATACCATAAATGCGATAATAAAGAGGACTAATAGGATATTGAAATAAAGTCTCAAATCTAAATAGGAATCAAAATCACACAATCACAATTCGCATAGCAAAAATCAGCTTCTCACCGTTTTCCATTCGGCCAACAACTTTTCCTTCTCGAATCGCATATATTCGCGATGATCCTGTATTCTCGTTATTAGTTTCCACAAAAGCAGCGTGGCTAAACCAATGCCCAAAATAGCACCGGCGCCACCACATAAAATTCTTAAAATAGCCACCTTCAACCAACAGTCAGGCTCTCTTTGTGCGCGCACTTCATCTGTGCCGTCGTCCATTTCTTTGAATATAAAAGTGAATTTACATTTATTAACATCATCGTAGGCGGTGCATTTCTTTTCGCCCTCAATCAGCTCATATTCTTCAATAGTTTCGTTATCTAGCGCGGACGTCTTCACACTGGTGCAGTTACCAAAACAGTCCTGCAAATTCTTAAACTTTCCCGATTTGTACATTTGGCATTGCACGCAGTCTTTGAGTTTATCGCAACGATTGGAACATGTCGGACACAACTCGCAGTACTGGCCCGAAAAGTAACCCTGTGGCGTGGATTGACACCTGCAATGGACAAATAAAAGTTAGTTTTTTTTCTTTTTAATTAAAGTTTCTTAATTCTTTCCAAATATAAAATTCCTTACTTGCATATGCCGCACTCACATGTTCCTTTGCCGGAACAAAGCTGGCCGCCACCAGGTGGTCTGCACGTCTCTTTCGACAACTGACACTCGCAAGCTGCTCCCGCCCAACCCGTCTTACAAGCGCACTTTCCACATTCACATGTGCCGTGCTCCGGACCAGAGCAAATTTTTTGTTCATGACGTTCACAAGAGAAATTGTCACATTGGCAATATTTTCCGGAAATAACTTCATTGGGATTTGCACGCTTATCGCATTGGCAAACGCCGCATGAGCACAGACCACGCCCACTACAGTCCACTTGCGTCGTATTATCGTGACAGAAGTGATTATTTTCACTCTTCGACGGCATAGTGTCACTAAGGCATTGGCAATTGGTGCCAATATACTTCTCGTCGCATTCACAAACGCCACAAACAAGACTGCCGCGCGCGTTACATTGCTCACTGAGTGTTTTTCGCTGCGCCTCGCACTCACAACCGCAAAGCATTTCGAGATCAATGATTACGCTTTCATTTATACCGATCGGAGAGATTTGTATGATTTCTCGCCAATCGCGTGGATCAGATGGACATGAATTCAATTCGATATGAAGGGTAAATGTAATTTCATCGCCGACGCGTACATTGTCACATTTGGATGTTGGTATTTCGGCGCCATCTTTGCCACAAGCTGAATAGTAGCTAATCTTAACATGATGGGTTGCATTATCTCGCATTTGTATAGTGGACGAAATTTTCTATAACGGTGGGAAAAAAATATTTCTTGCTATGATAAGGCCAATTTACAAAATCGGTGACACTTTGAATTTCGCGCGCAGTAATTCGAAATGAAATATATTATTTCCGTCCCTCCCCTTTGTGTGACATCAAGGCATACGCCACAAATTGGAGGAGAAGCTCGGCCAAACTCTAACATACATATGTGTAAGCGCCAATCTTTTATTATTATTATATTATTACCGTCAATTGTCTTTGATTGACTTGTGTGAAATGAAAAAATGTGAATTTCGTGTACCGATTAAGCATTATATTTTTAAGTAAAAAATCCTGTACCGAAACTAAGAAAAGGCTTGATCAATTTCAATGGTCAAAAGTGGTTTACTAAGTCAAGTTCAAGTCAAATCCATGGAATGAAATTGAACGATCATAAATAGAACTAAAGTGTGCAAGGCGCCTGAGGCTGTCAGCATTTTAACTGAGAGGGTAGATTATATTTTTCATTAATATTTGGATATAATAAAGCCGTCCGCGCGGTGGATGCCGCTATATCTCACAGTCGATCACAAACGCAACCATGTGACCACTTCGAAGCGTGTTTGGCGATGTTCAGCTGCAATCCGAACGACTTTTTGCACCCTTTTTCATCCGTTAGCGAAATATGGATCCACCACGACACTCCAAAGGCCAAGGAATAATCGAGAAGTGGACCAAAGCGGGTCTGTCAGCCAAAAAGGTTATAGGCAAAGTTTTTTGGAATGAACGCTATGACATTCACATCGATTACCTTGAAAAGGGCAAACCATTTACTAGCGAATATTATTCACGAGATTTTCTAATTAAGAAGTTGCTCGAGCCAAGAATCAAACCCTGGTCCTACATTGTGGTCGTGCGCACCTCTAACCACTTAGCCACAGCGGCCGCCGCAAGATGGAGATTGTAGTTCGAAAAATAGTCTGGTAAGTTTGCAGAACAGTAATAATATGAAATGTTCAATGTTATGAACGCCAAGATGGGGACCAGTTCGGAGCCAAAACTCGATCCTAAAAGAACCGAAACTCGATTTCAGAAGAACCGAAAAGCGGTTCCGGAAGAATCGGAAAATCATCTCAGAAATAACCGAAAAAGGATTCTACAGAACCAAAAATCGGCCGCAAAGCGCACATTCCACTATCGGCAAAAAATTAATAGTTTTGCCATATGGTCTAAATATAAAATTATCAGCCTCGAATTCGGATAGGATATGTATTATATATTTCTGAGTTGACCTACCATACCTTGTTCGGTTCGAGCAACTACACCATATAGCTGCCATATACCCGATCTGTTCGTGGTTTTTGATGCTATCCACTTGAAATTCGGTTTGTTTTCGTAACATGGGGTTCTGAGTTGACCTAAAACATTTTTTTTCTTTTTGAATTTAATGTCATGCTACATGCAATAAAGCATAGCGTTTCTATAAGGTCAGCTACTATAGCTTTCTTAACAATTTACTGTGAAGCCTAATACAAATAAGTAAAGCATCCATACCTACCTTATATTCCTCGCGTACGAGATTCACAACATTCGACGAATCCATTGTTAAAACTGCACAGGAAGATCCCTCAATATGATCGGATAGCCGCTTATATGTTTTAAAAACATCTTTAGTGACAGCAAATATGACATTTATAGAATTCTCTTCGACTTTATGCCTTATCGCTTCAACACTTGGATAATCCAATATCTCCGCATGTGTATAATAACCTTCACTGTTCAGATGGCACATTCCGTCATTTGGTACGATCAAGCCGGCAAGCTATAGAAATAATGATAATAAGTGTGTGTGTGTTCGGTTATCATATTAACAACTATACAGTGTGACGTAGACCACCCGTCTATTCCCTCTAAAATAAAGGGAAATGTTTTTTTATTCCATAAGCGTTAAAATACTTATGACCTACCAAATCGAGGATGATCTATCTTTTGGTGATATTATTGACTTCCGGTTTCGAGCAGAAGTTCGATAAACTGACCGGTGGTCCATTTTTTTAAAAAGCAATAACATCCACAGATTCGGATTCTGCGGACAAAAATACATAACGTTTGTGGAAAGTTTTTTTCTGGACCTCCGATTAAAATAATGCACTTCCGGTCTGGTTAACCCACTCGAACCCGGTCGAAACCAGAAATCAGTAATACGACCAAAAGGTTTCCTTCGTTTTTCCTTTTCCAATAAAAAGATTTTCACTCATTTAAGAAGACCGAGACGACTTGAAGTTCGAAGCTTTTTTTATTGATCGACAAAGTACTTCGGGATAAAAATGTCAAGCCAAAGGTACGTATTTTTATCCTCAGAATCCGAATATGTAGTAAAAACATATATTTGGATTTTAAAAAATTCTTCCGGTCAGTTTAACCCACTTTCTGTTGAACCCGGAAGTCGTTAATAGCTCCAAAAGATAGAGACTCTCCGACTCCTGTATATCAAGCACCTATGTTTGAATACATTCTCACCTTACCGTCACCGGCGCTATGAAAAGAAGCATCCGTCGAGAAAACTAGCAAACGCCGCGCCTTTTCACGCCATCCTATTTCCTTGCGGCATACAACCGCTTGCATTATGGCATCCAGTCCACCCTCAGGATCATCATTGTTTCCATAAGTAACAGCTTTTTTTACCTTATACTGTGAAAAAATCATACTTTTCGTCAATCGAATTCCATAAAAATATACCTTAAATGCATGCATTTATACTTAATGATTATTTACTTACTGCGAATTCATTAGTATCCTTACTCAAAGGCATAACATTGTGATAACTATAGGTAACGGACTTTTTTGATTTATCTCTAGATAAAGATTAGATTGGAATGTTACAGTCAAAAAAAAGAAATTTTTGTTAAAAAGTCTATATACTTTTATGTGAGTATCATACTTACAGCGCGCTAGATACTTTAGTAAAAGGCATTCGAACTTTGTCGATAAACGAACCGAATCCCAAGCGAAAGTTTCTGGTGATATTAACCATAGCCTCAGCTAAACTATCACCCAAAGCGGATAATTTGTCCTTGTCATCACCCATAGAATATGATAAGTCCATCAGATAGTAGAGATCAACAGGGTAATCAAGAGCACGTGAGTATGTCAATGGCATGATGTGGATTTGATCTAAAAAAAAAATTATGAATAATATCTGTCCAAAACCAATTTTTTTTTTGCAAATTCTTTTTCATTCATGATGTATGGTATTTCTTATTTAGTTACTTATATACTGGTACATATGAACATTTATCCGTTGTAGTACACCGAGAAAAGAGATTTTGATAACTATGTAGTATAACCAAACCATGTGTTGAGAGAAATATATTTAGTTTAAATATTTTCTCAGTGTATTCATAAGTTTTCGAGCATTTCCATTGAGATGCACTAGAACTTACGACCTAATTATGTACTCTAAGGGGAAGCAGCGTATCTGTTTTCATCTAAACCTTCCAATAAATTTTAGCGAGTGAGAACTCTGAAGTAAAAATTTTTATACAATCGACATACATACATATATATGTATGAAGAGCACTCGGATGACTACGAATAATTTGAGTTGGATGCTGAGAAAGAGGCACTCTTGGACGAAGATCCTTAAAAACTCAACAGAAACTCGCAGAAGCATTGAAAAATTATGCTCCTTGAAAAATGAGCAGCGATACAGTCTACTTTCTGAGTAAATATGCGAATGACCATTCTGTTATTTCGCGGATTTATCTTTGTACACATTTTTCATAAGTTTTATAAAAAACTTTAATAATAACTTTGCTGAAAATCACCCCAACCGGAAACCAGGAGATTTCTTAAAAGAAAAGGAAATAAACAGCACACATATTGTTCGCTACATAAATTGTCTGCTCGGAGTATCGATACCAATCTCAGCCAATAGAAAATGTGCCGTGAATAAAGTTGTAAGCGAACTGAAAGAGACTTAGTAGCCAAAACTGATGAAATTTGAGAAACCTCCAGATTATGATTCAGTTTTAATGTTTGCCCATATTCATAGTATAGTGAAGGGTGGTCCATATAGTAGTTCCTTTTTAAAAACTCAAGAATTAACAAAAAAAAAATAAATTAAATGCCCCAAAAGTGCCATTAATTAATTATGGAACACGATTTCTTAATACAATGATCGAAAAAATTATAGCCGGACGAGTGTTAACATATTATTTTTTTGTTATTTAATTTTAGTATTTTTTATACAAATATATTTTATTCTTTAAATAAGCCCATGTAAATCCAAGTCTCAAATTTTTGAAGCTATCTGACTAAAAGTTTTTTCTAATAGCGGACGCGCCTCGGCAGGCAATGACAAAAGCCTGTTATTACTAATATTATAACATAAATAACATAAACTTTTTATTCAGCATTTTGAGACAAATATCGAGTATGCAATTTTGTAGCCCAATAAATTTTAGTATATCAAATAGCTTAAAATAACTGTTGATTTTGAGAATTTTTTTGATAAGGGGGTGTTGAGCATTTTCTCCCATATAGCGAATGAACAATAGATATCTAAGTGCGCAACACCCTCCACAAAAACAAAAATTCTTTGTATTGAATGGGCTACAAAACTGCATTCTCGAAACTTTTCTTAAAATCCTGAATACAACAAATGATTCACATTTTTTTAATTTTTGTGAATTTTATATAAAGTACATATATACAGTCAGCGTCAAAAATATAAATACCCAGACGTTTCTTTATTTATATTTTCCATACCAAATTTTTCTTATTTTTTTTTTTATAAAAATAAAGTTAGTTCAAGAGCAAAAACCAGCATAATCAGTTTCATATGTAACTGGGGCTAATTCAAGAACTACCAAAAAATTGTCATCAAAATTTTCAACTTTTCAATTCCATTTCTTAGAAAAATTCTGGGTGTGCAGTTTTGTAGCCCATTAAATTTTAGTATAATAAGGTGTACGTTTAAAGTCTATAAAAATTACCGTTGATTTTTGAGATTTTTTTTTGTCGAGGGTGTTGCGCATTTTCTTCCATATAAAAATAGATTTTGTTCATGCGTTATTTTCTAAGAAATCGAATTGAAAAGTTGAAAATTTGTATGGAAATTTTTTGGAATATTTAAATTTTTCCGAGTTCTATATGAAATTGAAAGAATCGGTTCTGCTGGTTTCTGCTGTAGAATGAATTATATTTTTATAACAAAATAGAAAAAAATTGGTATAAAAATCGTGAAAACGTTAGGGTATTCATATTTTTGACGCGGACTGTATATATGTATTTTTATTTTTTATTTTTTCAAAAAAACACCGTATCAATAAATTACTGATAAATTTTGCCACTTACTTGCGCGCAGCTGCAAACTGATATGTTGTGGTCTCAGTTGTACGATTTCTTGACTATCATATTTTACACTGTTTACACTTTTCGCAGTTTGAACGCTCTTACCACTTGTTAAAGGTCGATTACTTATAAACTTAGAACTTTCTTGAGGATAAAAAACCGATTCGTTTGGGCAATTTGATTCCAACAAATAATCAAAACAACGATCTTGCGTATAGTTTGGTTGCTCGCACCAGGCGCAATTCGGCATTTGTATGCACTCATGGCACCTGTTTTTGTTGTTGCAGGCATTTTGAGTTACTACGCCAAGACTTTCTTTTAGTAATAAACAGATAAATAATGCCGAAAATTTTACGAAATGCTGATGTAAAATCATATTTTGAATTTTTTTAACTTTACTTAGGCGGCTTCGGAAGTCTCAACTTGAAATGTTTCTCGAACCTTGTCCGCGAAGAGCCGGCAAGCAACTAATATTTTAATAAGTGATTTTAAGCTACATTAAATCTTAATATCTGACTCATGTTAGCGGATTTAGGTCTTTTTTTATTAATTTCAACTAAAAAATTCAATTCAAATAAAAACTTGCGCGCCTACCTATATACATACTTATGTATGTATGTACTTATGTACATAGTTGTTGCATACATACTTATGTGACCAAAAGCTACTGATAAGCGTTCTTTTAAATTCGCAGAACTCCGAAGGCCACATTCACGTCATAAGTACTATACATATTTTAGTACGAGTATGTAAGCATGTATGATTCAGCATCGACATATATGTAAATTTGCAAAACACTAGTAATTACAAAATATTTCAATAAAATTATAACAAAATTAGCGGCTAATAGATATCACACGCTTAATCAAAAACAATCACAACCCAAAATTTTAAAAAATGTATTGGTTTCTATAAAACAGTTCACAGACCACATATCTAACGTTCGCTGAAATTTCTTCTTCATTGTCATCTTTTTTAACTGGAATCTGCCGAATTCGTGGACACTATCAATGATTGGTTTGACATGTTCAATAGGAGGCTTACCAAGTTTTTTTTTGTGGTAAAAAAAAATTTATAAATATTTTAAAACATAAAACTTGTAATTAATTGAATACACAATGTAGTTATTAATGGTTATAGACTTATAATTAGATTATTTATTTTTTATGTACAAGAGATATCCTCTTTACGAATTTGTATGCAAATATCAATGATATTTTGTGTTCAAAAAGCAATAAAAGTATTTTTCTCTATGTAGTTCCCACTATAACCAAGTTGTTTTATTTATTGTTTTAGTACAGGTTTGCCAAAAAAATGATTGCCTTGGTAAAAGCTCAAACTATATTTAAATTAATTTATCTATATAAGGAACATTAAATCTTAAAAATAGTAAAACTAGGAAGCAATGAAATCTAGATAGATAGATATATTTTTTTACAAAGGTCTAAGTTTTAGCTCTGCTTATTATAATAAGTACATTAAATTAATAATTCGCATTTTACTCATGATTCCATTCTATGTCCATTTTTCTACTGCCTCTCTACTACTATTTTCACAAAGAGCGAACACATTCTTCCCCTTCCTCCCTACTTTCAAAATACAAATCTAGATAAAGGAGTATCAAATTTGAGCTGTCACAACTTACATAACCTTGTATTATTCACTTCAAATTTACTTATCAATCTTATCTTCTTGTTGCCTTCTAAGAAATTTGAATTCCAAAAGTAACAAGTGTGCTCAGTTATAAAAAAAAAAATCGTTAAATAAGTGTACAAGAGAATCAAATTTTTCTATTATTTTATTATCCATCTCCCAATGACTTCCTACCACTGCACTATTCTATACTTGCAAAAAGCAGGGAAGGGAGACACGGCCGTGTGCAGAGCAACAAGGATATTATTATTTGAATATTATAAGATCATTTAATGAACTCAATGCAATGTAGAATAAAAATACGGGAATTGGAATTGAACAAACAAAAAATAATAATAAGTATTGAAAATTACCTTTTAATTAATTTTTTATACTAATAAAGTTACAAGTACGAAATTCCAGTATGTGGTAGTGCACATATTAGACCTTAACGTACAGGAGAATTTAAGTGTTTTCAATTTTAGGAAATTTCCTCTTTTCTCTGATATCCATATTATTATTCAGCAAAGCATTAAGTTTTTTAAATAACTTTGTAAATTAATCATTAATTGCCTTCGAAATTTTGAAGTAATTTTAAAAACAAATTCTTACGTTATAGAGAAAACTTAAGGCAGAGTTCAGTTGGTCCCTAGTTTTTCTCTGCAAAACGTTGCAATCTCTCGAAGTACTTCATATGTACATAAGTATGTAGTTTGTGTTTATGTTTTTGTACCTTAGGATTTTATTTAAAAGTGTTTCCCTAAATCTTTGTGAAGATTCTAATTAACATACCCTCATATTAAATATGTGCAAAGGACTAAATTCAGGTTATTCAGATATAACTTATTAATAATCACTTATTCTTTAAAGGTAAATAAAGAAACGAGTACGAAAAATGCTTCTAAATACAATATCGAACTGACTTTGACTGCATTAAAGTTTCTGTACGAAAAGGAAATGCCTGTTGGCCGCTTAACACAGAACTGGCAGCTGGCGTGTCTTCAACCAATAAATATTGCCAAACATCAATAAAATACGCAGCAAAGTAATGCAAAGTGGATTGCGGCAAAGCAACAGACATACGAAGAGCATAAAAGCACTAATCACTCGTGCTAAGCAGCACTTCATTTATGTGTAAAATGTATATATTTAGATTACACGAGTTGGCAAATCGAAAAATGAGAGCCTGTAAGCTCGAACGAGTATGGCGTAGAAGTGTTAAGTGTTTTGGAATAAATTTGGTAAGCTAACTATGGCAGAAAATGTAGAAACAGCAAGACACATTAACCCTTACAGGGCCTTGCGAGGAGAGACGTTTTTATGCAAAGATCGAGATTTTCTTGAACAACCCATTTATTGCGGTTTTGATTCCGCGTAACATTTCTATCGATATATGGATCGAGTGAGATGTATTGCTGGGTTTTTAAGAACCACAAAAGCAAGGTTCGTTTTTTCGTACTGGGGATTATCCCACCAAAAAGTTAAACATTTTTCGCTCTTCAAAAATTTTTAGACCTGAATAGGTTTTTGGTAGGTTTTTAGATAAGCCAAATCATTCCAAATATCTTTTATTGAGATGAGTGCTTAGGTGATGAAAATTTGTATAAGACTTTTGAGAAATACGGAAATGCAAATGCTAAAATTATGGCAACTTTCTTAAAAGAAATGTATAAAGTAGACAAGGCTCTGGAGCATCTTTAGTTGTATAACGGTTAATTTATAGCGTTCCACCTGAGTGTGAATGTAACAATAAATTTCCTCCTCAAATACTTAGTTTTGTAACACTTTTATCAACAAAACCTTTTTTTTTCTAGATCTCTTAAATGTTCGACCAAAGTTTTGGTGCACTCAGTGGTTATACATTTTTTTTTTACTTGAACAATTTAGACTGTATGAATAGAGTATATGGGGTATTCCATACCAAAACGGACGGGGTTCACAGTTCATGTGTTTGATTTTTTTTTTAATTTTTAGGGTTGATGCATAAACATAAATAATAAATGAATATGAAATTTCAGCGGGATTAATAAATTTTTATAAACTGTACAGCACAAAAACAAAAACAAATCGATTTAGTAGTTCTCCAAAGATCTCGAGCATGGGGCGAGGAAAAAATGTGAAAAAAATCACACATACACACATCAAAACTCTCTACGAAAGTAAATTAAAGTAAAATTTATCACGTACACATTTTTTATGAAAAAAATAGTTTTTGAAAATATGCCATCTCAAAAAAATTGGAAAAAATCGCAATGGTAGCTTTGAGTATTGCGCAATATTTAAGTATGGTATTATGGGGTACACTCTACAATAATTTGAGTTATGAATTTTTTTTTTAACCGAAGTTGAGTGTACTCATTTACATAACAAATTTACAATTAAATGCAAAAGTGCAAGTTTTAAGCTACTGCAAAGTTGCGTTGATTTGTAATATGTTTTATGCTGTCAGCTTTTTGCACTTTTTTTATGGAAGGAAATGCGCCAAACCGTTTTCAAAGAAAATTCAAAATAAAATAACGCCGCTACCATTGTAATTTTTTTTAATTTTTTTTTGAGATGGCATATTTTCAAAAACTATTTTTTTTTATCAAAATATGTGTACTTGAAAACTTTTTCAAATAAAAAATTTTTAAATATTTCTTTTCATAGAGAGTGTTGATGTGTGATTTTTTTTTAAATGTTTTCCTCGCGCCGTTCTCGAGATATTTGGAAAACTATTAAATCGATTTGTTTTTTTGCTGTAAAGTTTTTAAAAATGTATTAATCAAGCTCAAACTTCATACTTCTTTATAATTTATGTTTATGCATCAACCCCAAAAATTTGATACAAATTAAACACATGAAGTGTGAACCCGTTCGTTTTGGTATGGAACGCGCCATATACATATGCACATATGTATATACAGTATATTTTGCTTAGCTGCCCATCCTTCTTTGCACGAAAAACTTGTGCGCTTAACCGAAAAAAGCCCTTAAGCGAATTTTCTTTACTACTTCAATGAGGAAGGTATCCGAATCCCTATGAAACCAAATAATGGAGGGGCACCTACCACGTAGAAATTACTGCAAGAGAAATTTTTTCCGAATGGTATCTAATTACCTATATAACTACATAAAATAATTGCCGTTTTCGTTGTTCTGCGAGATGAGCAAAATAAATAATAGCTTGTAAAATTAGGGTAAGTGTAGAGCCAGTGCAGGTAAACGTAATACTTTCTTTGATAATTGATAATAGTTGCAAATTTTTAAGGCAGGTATCGCTAATGTGCAGGTATGTTGAATGCAAGTATCGGAGCAGTTTCCTTATAAATGTTAAAAATAATGCCGGTGATGCGCATTTTGGGGTAGGTATCTTAAATGTGCACTTAAGCACAAAGGCAGCAAAGCAAAATATACTGTATTCGCGTATGTATGTATACCCAGCAGGAAATGGATCTAACTATAAGCTAACTTTAAGTTGATTAGGAAGGAGCTAAAAGTCACTTATTATCTGTATATTTTGTTGACGAAAGCTAACTATATTTTTATGGCGATGGCCGCGAAATAGTCAAGGGAGGCTTACCTTTGCATTCGATGTAGTCAAGGGTGGTTACCTCTGCACTGGATGTAACTAACTTGTAACTTACTACTTTTGGACATAAAATATCAATAGGAAAACAAAATATTTTTTTATTTTATTTTTTTTTTTCTTTATTTTTTTTTATTACATTTCATATTTGTTTCCATATTCTGTTGTAGGTGGTCCATATTCGAACTCCGTCAGACATAACTTCGAAATGATAATATGAAATTTCGATCTTCCTTTTATTT